CAGGGATTTTTATAGAACAATTAGATTTTTCAAAAGTGGTTTCTCTGCAAGAACCTATGGAGTTAAAAATAAAAGGGGAAATGTAGTAGTAGATAAAGAATCAGGCATTAAAGTATGGAAAGACTATTTTGAAGAACTTCTAAACTGTGATGGACCGACAATTAGAGACATAGAAGAAAATCTAAGCTACCACAACGTTGAACCAAATGTTTTACCACCCTCAGAACAGGAAGTAGAAGAAGCAATTAGGTTACTCAAATGCAAAGAAATTCATAGCCTTTTAAACAAATGTATGGAATAATGAAATAATACCAGAGGAGTGGGCAGAAGCGATAATAATCCCATTACATAAGAAAGGTGACAAACAGTCTTGCTCAAACTACAGAGGTATCTCACTTCTAAACACAGTATATAAAATATTCTCAAAAATTCTATTAATGAGACTAAATCCGTACACAGAATCAATAATTGAGGATCAACAAGCCGGCTTTATGAAAGGTAGATCGACAGTAGACCAAATATTTTTGCTTAAACAGGGAATCTCAAAATATTATGAATATAATAAGAGTTTTTATGGGATATTTATTGACTTCAAGAAAGCTTACGACAGCATTGATCGAAGGACCTTATATAGGAAAATGGAAAAACATGGCATACCTAAAAAGTTAATAAAATTTACAAGATTATGTGTTGACGAATCAAAAGCGAAAGTAAAGGTAGATGGAGACATGTCGGAGAGCTTTAGTATAAATACAGGAGTGAGACAAGGGGACGGGATCTCCCCCACTCTTTTCAACATAGCGATTGAAAAAGCTCTACAAAAAGTAAAAAATCTAAAGAGAGGCCTAAAATTGGGTGTAGACTTAAATGTCATGGCCTTTGCAGATTATGTGGTGATATTGGCTGGTAAAATTGGTGTCCAATTTGGTAAAATATTGGTGATAAAAGTCAGAGGATTTGTGTTTTCTAGCCTACAAGTTTATTCAAGAATGTAAAAAAGTGGGTTTGGAACTAAATAAGGAAAAAACCAAAATAATAAAGTTTGGACGACATCCCATCAATAGAGGCACCAATTTTAACACGTTCGCTACTGAGTGTCGCATATATGCGACGCCGCGGTCATTGCCACAGACCAAGGTATACATTTGAATCTTACACATAGACCGGCTGTCACTTGGATAACAGTACACACGAACCACGGGCGAAAACCCGTAAAACAGTGATCATTTACATTGTAATACGCTTCAATCGTGTTCGTAAAGAAATTATTCTTGTTTTTTGTATTTTTTATAACCTTTTGTAATGTCGCATATTTGCGACGCCCGGTCTACAGCGAAGACAATAGTGAAAATTATCATAGTTTTCTTGAAATAGACTAAACGCCGCATATATGCGACGGTTAATTTTTTTGTGTTTTGAGGTGAAAGTAAGTAAAAAAATAAACAGATTTTTCAAGAACAGTTTATAACTGAACAAATATAAAAGCTACATAGGATAATGCAGCATACGTACTGCATACATACATACAGTGATGCAGAAAAGTAAAGACCAGTTTTTCCAACTATAATATGACGTCACCAATCATCATATCCACAGACCAAGCGACGCAGTTGTGCGTCAGACATCTCTGTAGACCACTGCAGGGAAATCAGTGCCTTCAAATAGACCACTACAAAGATATAAGCATTTTAATAACATTAGAACCCCGACGCAAATATGCGTCGTCAGTCTATTTTAATTTGACTAGCCGTCGCATATATGCGACGGCAGTCTATGGGTGGAAACCGGCCGTCGCATATGTGCGTCGCTGGTCCATGTGAATGGAAAAATTCGTACTATTGCAGTAGCGAACGTGTTAATATAGCCAACTATTTAATTGAGCCAGTAGAAAGCTTTAAATACTTAAGAGTTACTGTAAATAGCTTTAACATAGAAGATACAGAAATATTAAGTAAGTTAGCAAATGCCAATAAATGTTTACGTGTATGTATGAAGCTCCTGTCATCAAAACTCCTATCATCTGATACAAAAATAAGAATATATAAAACCATTATTCAACCAGTGTTATTGTATGGAAGCGAGACCTGGGTCCTACCCAAGAAAAATGAAGGACGCTTGATTGTTTTTGAAAACAAGGTCCTAGGAAAAATATTCGGCCCAGTAAATGATGAAGGAGAATGGCGGATTAGAAAAAACAGAGAGCTACGAGCGTTATACCAGGACCCTGATATAATAGCTTTGATAAAGGCAAAAAGATTAGGTTGGCTAAGTCATGTATTGCGAAGGGAAGAAGGAACAAGACTGAAGGACGTATGTTCTGCTGTACCAACTGGAAAGCGTCCACTGGGTAGACCAAAAATGAGATAGTATGACCAAGTTAAGAGAGATGTGAGTCAGTGTGGAGGGACAGTGGAGATGGCATCGGACAGAGAAGCGTGGAAGAGGCTGATCTACGAGGCGAAGAATCAACTGCGATTTGTAGCGCCCCAACAGTAAGTAAGTAAGTAAACACAAAATTTCCCTCCAGACATTTTTAAAGAGCTTAAAAAAACAAATAATTTAGTATATCAAAGTGTTTTTGTACAACTATTGGTTACGGAGAAATTCATAAAATTGTAATTTTAAAATTCCCATGTTATTCTTATGGAGAATATTGTGAAACGTAGTAGTTTGCTTGTTTATGGATATACTTTCAAACTTGGTAAATTTATTTATCTTTATATATTTAAAAAAAATTTGGTTTTTCTTTTCTGAGTTCGTTTGGCTCTTCTACACGACCGATTTTCATGATTGAAGTCTCAAATTAAAGATATGCACGCACAGATTTGCCATCAAGCATCAGCATATGTTTATCTATAATTCCACTCGGCGTATACGTAAACGAAATTTGCTCCCCATGTATTTCTTATGGGAGTTAAATTTGATATCTCTTTTTCGAGTTCGTTTGGTTTTTCTACCCGACCGATTTTCATAATTGAGGTCTCAAATTGATGGTATGCACGCACAGATTTGCCATCAAGCATCGGCATATATTTATCTATTATCCCACTCGGTGTATAGGCCTACGTAAACAAAATTTGCTCCCCATGTATTTCTTATGGGAGTTAAATTTGGTTTTTCTATTCCGAGATCGTTTGGCTCTGCTACCCGACCAATTTTCATAATTGAGGTCTCAAATTGAAGGTATGCACACCAAGTTATCACATCAAGCATCGGCAAATATTTACCTACTGTATTACTCAACTAAAACACATAATTTGATTTGATTTCGAATTCTTACTTCAATTTAATATGCATTTCACCAGTTATAATTATATAATCCTATATAAACTACTATATATAGTACTATATATAAACTATATATAGTTTAAGAACCTTTAGTGAAATACCAGCTTTCAATTAAGCTAATCGTTATTCAAATCAGATGAGTTTCAGCAAGCAAACGCATGGTGAACAACCAACATACAAATTATTTTTCATAAGGTTTTTCTATGATTAAAAATATTATGTTTTTCCCAATGTTTTAGACTCAAAATAATCAGTAAACTATAGGCTTTAAATTGAGCTATTGATCGTTTGAATCAGTTAACCTTGTTTTTGTTTACTTTCGGGCCAAAAAACGTCATTTGTTGATGTTTATGATCCATACCGGGTCTTTTCTAGTATTCGTGAACCCTAGTTGCATTGTAAGAAGAAATTATTGTTAGTCTTAAGTCTTAAGCAGTCCCCCAACAGACTTAAGTCCCAGCAAACACCAAGGGTTGATACCCAAATTCTACTAAAGGTACACTAAATGTTAATTAAAAATCCTAATTAAGATATAAAACAAAGTATAAAAACTACTTGATTAAGTACAAGATTACTAATATAACTTTTCGTTACATATGTTTTTTGCCTTGAATGTAAAATGAGTGAGTGTGTGTGTGTGTGTGTGTGTGTCACAATCAAAATTAGAAGTTGTAGGTGGGCGAACCACACTAATACCAGGACAACTCAGTGAAATGTGGCTACAGTCCTCGTTAGTCTAGTTGGAAACTTCCAACAGGTGAATATGATTCTTAAAAAAACTTGTTAATGCTGCACTCTGGAACAACATTTATACAATAAAATACAAAAACTAAAAATATGTAGGCAGATCAGTAGCACGAAACCTTAACATTACTACTTAGGTTTCAGTCTGTAACAAATAGTCGTTATATGTTCTTCGTGTCCAATGTCTATGTACACTTATACTTTTGGAGCAATTAATTATAGTTGGGTAAAATATTCATAGTGCTAAGCTAACAATATACAGTTGCCGGATCGATCCAAAGAAATGTCACATGTCACAAACGTTTGTTCCTATACGCTCAAACCAGACCAAGCAGAAACCCGTTGAAGACAAATTCATAAAGGAGAAATAATGTCATGAATTTTACTGTGTTTATATTTGTTTGTTTTAATCCATATGCCAATTTGTTTACCTGTTGTTTTCTCTACGTTCACGTTTACAAGTTTACTTCTACTGAAAATATTCAATTCAATTATCAATCATTGGAATGAGGACGCCACCTATGTGCATATTTAACCCAAATACATGAGTGAAGGGTGGCTGTAGAATGGAGTTTTGTGATCTGACTAAGATCTGCTCTTTCATTTATAGTCATCATTTATTTAGGCTAAATCATAATATAATAATCATAATATAATTTATTTAGGTCCAATGACCATAGACAGCGATCTTCTATTTAAGAAAATTTAATTTAATGGCTCTACCACTTAAGCTACTGTAGGAGCTAACCATGGCCTACACATATTTAAACAAATCATCATAAATAGAGCAATATTACGTAGTACGGTTACTCAGGAACTTATTTTTTTCTTTTTTAAGTGGATTCTTGGTGGAATAAATTACAGGTTACATACACCTAGTCACAAAGTTGTGTATTTTAATGTGACTGAAATATCTCTTAATACCTATACTTAGTAAAATAATAGTTTAAAATAATAGCCTATTTTACCTGATTTGTTAAGGGATCATAGCCTCCATTGACCTCTGGACCACACCATTCACAAGCAAAATGTCTTCTCAAGTCCACATCACTTAACAAAAACATTTAATATATTATTAAAATTTTCAAAGTATTACATGGACAGAATATGCTGTATAATCAAGTTAATGTCGGTATTAATGAAAAATGATATCGGCCTACTTTCACCACAATTTGGTTTGAAGCCTTAACACATTTGCTTCGACACCTCAGTTTTAAAAATGAGCTACCGGTACTAGAAAGAAATACATTTCAACCACCAGGTATAAAAGTTTAGAACTTTATTTTTAGACTTCCCAGACACCATTTTACCCTATACAACAAGTCCATTGTATGACGGGCTGAGATTGTGCAATGTGCTTTTATGGTCTCCTCTAATACAAGGCCCTGGCATCGGTGGCAACGTCGCACCAGCTGGCTTAGCGGTGGGGCACACGGGACGGGAGGGACGATGGCTAACATAGTGTCAGCGTTTGCCGCTAGAATCGCTAAGTTGAAAAATTTAAATCAGGCTAATTTTATAGTTTTTAGTTATAAAATTAACTTTTTAATTATAAAATTAAACTGTCATAACTGATCATAAAAAAGATATAAGATAAAAATCAAATAAAGCAAAATCTGTGACAAAAAGTTAATGCCCTGAGAGGTTTCGCACTTGGGACCTCCTGCTCACTAGTCTAATGCGCTATCAACTATGCCACGAACACCGCTGGAACCACATCGTCTCGTTACGGTAATCGTGTTGCCTCAAGAGAAGATATTAGCCACTATAGGTATGACGTCACCACACCTTTAGCCATCATCCCTCCCGTATGCCCATCCGGCTGGCTTAGACCATGACAAAGCTGTTTGTGTATCTTAGGCCTTGTTGTTGTTGCTATGGTAATAATAAACATGTAAACATAAACATTTTGCAGACACTCCATTATAAATTAGTGCAATTTAGTGCTGTTACATTAGACCTGGAGTGTAACGTTGCCACTATACTCTCTCCAGGTCATTACAGAATCATGGTAATACCTGGACCTGGGACCCATTTTCTTTTTCGTTTTGAGGTCAACATGGAAGGATGCAAGTCAGTACTTACTCCCATAGAGAAGCTCATTGCTCAAAAACCAGGGACAGCCTCCTATTTTCCATACCAATCGGCAGTTGAAGCCCTACTTTATGTTGTCCAAGGTACCCATTTTTACATTGCATTCAGTGTAAGTGTTCTGTCACGTCACTTAGAAAATCCTACACCAAAGGATGTCACACAAGCAAAGCGTGTTATAAGCTATTTGGCCGGCCCTGTGGGCTAGAAAATAGTGTACCAATCTAAGCCTAAAACACTCTAGTAGAGGGCTATAGTGACGCAGACTTTGCGGGTTGTCCAACTACAATGCGTTCAACTAGTGGAGTTATTAAGTGTGCAGCTATCAGTTGGCTTAGTCTTCCACAGGAGTTAGATGCAGATTAAACTTGTGAAGCTAAATTCATTGCAGTTAATTTCAGTTTAAAAAAAAGTCTGGATTTCTAGTTTGTTAAAAAACTTAGAAACGATTATCTGCCGTTCCTATTCTAAAAGTCGACAATGAATCAGCAAGGAAACTCTGTAAAAACCTCGAGTTTCACTTTCATACAAAGCATATTCAGTGGAAGTATCTATTCATTTGAGACAGGATAAATATAATGTATGCTGACTGTAAAGCATGTTGGTACGGAATATTAACTAGGTAATAGATATAGGCTACTGACAAAGCCTATAGCCTACCTCGATTAAGACTTCAAGTCCTGCGAGAAAATCTTGGACTCTTGGCATGACTATGCAAATAAGGGAAAGTATTGAAAATGCCTGCCTTTTGTTATTTGTAATAGGCCTAGTCATACTACAGATAATAAGAATGTATATTTATTATCAGCTGTCTGTTTTGTTGGTCAAATTTTGTTTCACGTTTTTTAAATATTTGAGAAATACATTTGCTTGTTCTATCGTTTAAATTTGTTTTTACATTCTTATTATAGGCTAACTATACTCACCCTAAACACCATCCACCCTGTAATTCAAGAGTATTGAGCTCATGTTTATCAATATTTACTGTGTATGAGTGCGTGTGACAACCAGAACTTTGAAAATACTTAATTTTTGTGATCTTAAAATAGCCTAAAAAGAAAAGGTAGGTGATCAGTTAAATAATAGTTATTATTCCAAAACTTGAGCAATAGAAAACAGAATACTTACCAACCGGAGGATTTTAATGCTCCAACCATCAGCTTGACCAGCTTACCTACCAGCAAATAAAAATAAACAACTATTCCTGTATATATTTTGGGATGGAACAAGAAAAGTAGGTAGGTAGGCCTATGTAGTTATCAACGAAGTATAAATTTTAACGTTATCAGCTTATCACTGAAGATTTATCAATCTACAAGAGTGACAAACCATTATTTACATCCAACAATCACATGAAACTAATAGCCTAGATGGAGAATGAGTGGCGTGACGTCAAGCAATGGTATTTCACGTTTCTGCAGCAAGATGAGTGCAACTGCTGTTGGCCGAAACGAGCGCTACAGATAAAAACAATTCAATTTCAATTAATTTATTTTACGCATGCAAAAATTTTTGAACCCTGCAGTGCCCTATTTACCTCTCTAGCTTCAAGCTTTGAGATGAAAACTCAATTGCATTCCTACATGAATCTAATATCATTTACAAATACATAATATCAATACATTTTGTTTCTGGTTTTCAAATAACTTTAGAGAACCTGTGCAGCTCAATGAGCCGCATAGTATGAAACATAAAGTCGAGGAAAACGTTGTTAGGCCTATGCTTAAATTCGAGTAATTCTAGTTACCACATCTTAGAGCTGTTCGATACTTGTTAGAAACAAAAGAAACTAATTTTAAATATCTGAATTTGCGTCGTCAAGGTTCACCTACATTATTTCTGCTCTCAGTTTTAACTGAAAACTTCTAATGAATGCTAAACGCTCTGCTTCAATTTAAGTTAAAATTTTACGTAGAATTTTCATTGATGTATACAAACAACAACAAATGTCATGCCATTTGAGTAATTATGGATCGTTGGACAGTACAAAACCGTGCATTTTGCATTGAAGGCTATTTTAATCATAAGTAAAAGAGTATTTGACAAAACATGAGACGTAATCTAAGGTCACCTTGATTGAGCTTCTGTGCAACAACCTGATTGTAGGGATGTAAATTAGAATAGCCTAGTCATGTAAAATATGATGTAAACTGGTCCTAGAAACACCTAAAACAATAGTACTTAATGTTAACTTGCCGATTTTCTTGGACTTCGGAGAGAACACATTCCCAAACTCTTTTACGATGTTCTCATCTGTACGTACACACTTTGACCTCCCCGGAGGTTTATTCTTGTTAGTTCTTAAATTAAACACCCATCTCAAGATAGGCATTGAATTCCAAGAGGGAACCGCACCATGGTGACGTACGATGAAATTATTTCAAAATAAGTTAACCGTAAGTTAAAATCACACTCTTTTTTTGATAGGTTTAAATTCAATACAAAAGTCACGGTGTTGTACTGTCCAACGATCCATGATTTCTCAAATGGCATGACATTTGCTGTTGTTTAATACAATAATGAAAATGTTACGCATAACAACAGCTGATTGACATTTGTTTAAAAATGATTGTTATTTATGGACCACTCCATCTCGGTCAGTAAGCTGCACAGGTCATCTCACGTCCTACCCCAAATACCTAGGCCTAGTTACCGATAGTTATACCATTCCTACCAAAATTGCAATAGAGACTCAATGATGTGTAGGCCTAACTCTAACCTAGGCCTACGTTGGGCAAGCTTCTGGTTTAAGTAAATTACTTACTTCTTAAAAAACAGTTGTATACATTTATTTCGCAGTGAGTTTTCTCTTGAGCCAAACGTCCTTCGCCAAACATCATTTGACTTAAACTGGCTTTAAACCCTCCTTTTCTTTCGGGATAGAGATCATAACCCCACTTTTGTTTCTCTCTAATTTCATCATCTGTTGGTCTTTGCAATTCCGGCTCCTTATTTTCAGTCATGATACACTAGGGTTAACGATATAAGTTGACTAATAAACTAAAACAAATAAGCAGGGCAGGACTAAACAATAACTAGACGTTAGTGTTTGTAGTTCTCTAGTCTATAAACATTCGAACATAACCTCAAAGTTAAAGTTTCAAAAAATAAAATACAGAGTCGTCTGCACCATAGAGATAAAAAAAATGGGACTTTTGGGTTCAGGCAGATTATTGTGATTAACACCATAGATTAAACATGCTTTATCTATGTTAACCACTAAGCTATAATAATAACAACTGGGGCCCATTTCATAATAAACTACAAGTTACAAATTACAACTTGTAGCTTGTAATTTCCATTAGATTTGCATTGGGCGATCAGCTGATTTATATTAGTTTGTACATTATTATGAAATGGGCCCCTGGAGTGACCCGGGGCTATAGAATACAGGAGTAACCACTCTGTGTTTAAAAACGTCCCGCTGTTTTGCTGGTTTTGTTTCAGTTCAGAGTTTCATGTTGTTAGGTTGGCCGTGTGATCGGTTGGTGGGACTCGTCAAAATTAGAGGCAAGATCAAGATGGCGTCATCCTGTTGTTTTGTTGATAGTAAAAAAATAAGGGCTAAACCTAAGAATAAACCAATATCTCCAAAGGAAACTTGACTATTTTCACCATTAATCATAGCTTGAAAAGAGGTAAATAAGTTAGTATTTATTTACTATCTTAAACAAGTTATAGTGTTTTAAAATAACTTTAAATACAAAATAGGTTTTAACGTGCAATAACTTAAATAAGTTGTTGATACAAGTCCTTGAAATAACGGATAACCCAAAACAAATAGTATGGTTAGGTTAGAATGAATTGGAATTTGACAGCATAATCAGACGGCCAACCTAACAACACGAAACACCGAAAACAAACCAGCAAAAAAAGTGGCATGCAAGGTAACCTTCTTGGCATAGAAGGTTCTGCAGGTAACCTTCTTTTTGATTTGCATGAAGTTGCCTAAAAAAACAACAACAACATGCAGCTACTATGTCTAAAGATTACACTGTTATTCTGATAGGAGGCACAAATAACATTGTAAACGGACTCTGTACTGATTTCACAGTGGGGCTGGGTGATTCCCTGATGGGTTCGTTGTCTGGACCGAGGATTGTCCTGGTTGGAGTTCTGTTAAAGGTACGATCATCCCATCCCTAAATACAAAAATCTCTAGAGTCCGCAATCTCCTTCTAAAAATTCTTTCTGGTCAACACAAAAATACGTCCTTTGTATGTATTGAATACTTTCAGAGTAATCATTATACCCGACATGACATGGACTGCATTTTAATCACGAAGGAACGCTACGTTTGTGTCTGCGTTTGTGTAACGTTCTATACAGGGTGTCCCATAAGTAAAGTGCCAAACTCTGGGAATAGGTTCTATGGGTCAAAATAAAGAGAAAATCAAGAATAAAGTTTTTTTCAAAAACGCTTCGTTTACCAGATATCCGCCATTTTGTATTTTTTACTAAATAATTTATATCTTCTGATTTTTTCAACCGATCCTTATAAAACTCGGTAAGTATGTTTAGATAAAAGAGACCTACTGTAGAAAAAAAATTCAACTTGGTCCAATTTAAAATTTCAAAATGGCGGCCATTTTGAACATTTAATCTAAAATTACGGGAAAACGGTAAAAAATACAAAATTGTACTAAGAACACTTTTTTTTATAAAATTTTATTTCCAATCTATCAACACCAAAAACATGAAAATCGAACAAAAAATAACCGAGATACATTAAAATGTGTGTTAAGAGGCAGCAAAAAATCCATTTGTTGTAAATAGCCCCAATCACCAGATCAGCTGTTTTTAGAAAATAATTGTAATTGGTATAATTCATATTTTTTCAACCGACCTGTATAAAACTCGATAAAAGAGACCTACTGTAGAAAAAAATTAAACTTGGTCCAATTTAAAATCTGAAAATGGTGGCCATTTTAAACTTGTAATCTAAAATTAACAAAACAATAACCGAGATACATTGAAACCATTTATTGAGTGACAACATAAAAAATGAGGAAACTAATTAAATACAAAATCAAATCTTAACAAATGATAGCTTTTTTGAAAGTTATCAACTACAACAAATGTTCCATGTGTCCTCCATTCATTTCTACGACACAAACCATCCTCTTTCTCATCGACTCCCTCACTCTTTCAAATACCCCAGGCTTTTGTCTTATCACTTCACAACCTGCTACAATTCGTTCCCTTAAGTCCTCAATACTGTCAACAGGGGTATGGTAAACCAAAGATTTTAAATAGCCCCATACAAAAAAGTCCAGGGGATTAAGGTCAGGAGACCTGGCAGGCCATGGGATGGGCCCCCCACGCCCTATCCATTTATTTCCAAACACTTGATTTAAATGTCGCCTTACATCCAATGAAAAGTGTGGTGGCGCACCGTCTTGCATAAACCACATATTGTTTCTCAAATGAAGGGGTAAGTTTTCTAGCAATCCGGGAAGATCTTGTGTTAAAAAGTTTAAGTAAGACACACCATTAAGTCGGTTGGGTAAAAACCATGGCCCTATAAGATAGTCCCCAACAATGCCTATCCAAACATTGAGAGAAAAGCGCACTTGATGCCTTCTTTGTGATATCTCATGGGGATTTTCATCGGCCCAGAAGTGATTATTATGAAAATTAAAAATTCCTTCTCTCGAGAACCCAGCCTCATCGGTAAATAAAATGTTGGAGAGAAACAGAGGAAGTAATGCGATCTGTTGCAAGAACCATTGACATAAGTTAATACGGGGTGGAAAGTCCCTATCGGTTAGGCATTGCACCCTTTGGATATGGTAAGGATACAACTGCTGATTATGTAGAATCCGCCACACAGAACTTTTTGAAATACCATGTTCAAGCGATATTCTTCTAACACTAGTACTTGGGTCTTCTTCCACGGCCGTCAAAACTCTTTCTTGATTATTTAATGTATCTACAGAAACAGCCCGTCCGGTCTTCTCAGTGAATTTTAGTGTTCCTCGTTCCCTCAAATTCCTGTGAACATTTACAAACACTTTCCTACACGGAATTCGTCGGTTGGGGAACGTTTCTGCGTAAAGGCGGCATGCCTCACGCGAATTCCCATTACCTAAGCCGTAAAAAAAATGAATATCAGCTAGCTCGACATTAGAATAGCTATGGTTCGGCATTTAAATAAACTTAGAAAATATCAACCTAACCTGATCACAATGATGATGTTTAAAGTAAACAGAACAATAATAACAACAATGCAACAATGCAACTCAACAAACACATGTTTTTCAATCAGCTGTTCAGCTGATTGGGGCTATTTACAACAAATGGATTTTTTGCTGCCTCTTAACACACATTTTAATGTATCTCGGTTATTTTTTGTTCGATTTTCATGTTTTTGGTGTTGATAGATTGGAAATAAAATTTTATAAAAAAAAGTGTTCTTAGTACATTTTTGTATTTTTTACCGTTTTCCCGTAATTTTAGATTAAATGTTCAAAATGGCCGCCATTTTGAAATTTTAAATTGGACCAAGTTGAATTTTTTTTCTACAGTATGTCTCTTTTATCTAAACATACTTACCGAGTTTTATAAGGATCGGTTGAAAAAATCAGAAGATATAAATTATTTAGTAAAAAATACAAAATGGCGGATATCTGGTAAACGAAGCGTTTTTGAAAAAAACTTTATTCTTGATTTTCTCTTTATTTTGACCCATAGAACCTATTCCCAGAGTTTGGCACTTTACTTATGGGACACCCTGTATAACGCTATGAATAGATCATCCCCCACTTCATCCTTAACGCCCATCAACGTTGTTTTTCATTTTTTTATGTTGTTTTTTATGGGGATTTCCCATAAAACCCCATGAAATAACGGAAAATCAGATTTTCTCGAAAATGGACCGAACGATTTTCATAAAAATGTTGTATATGCTATACTGTAGTCCTTTAAATTCTGAACAAAATGGTACAAATCCCATTTCCATCAAAATTACTGTTCAAAAGTTATTGTAACTTATGTTATTTCCCATAAAAAAAAAACATTAAATAACAAAAAATCTGATTTTTGGAGAAAAGCTGGTTTTGATCAAAATTAATATGTTATGGTTCTTATAATTCTAAAAAAATAGTACAACACCCCATTGTAAAAATTCTGGTTCAAAAGTTATTGCGACTTTTGTGATTTTTAACTATAAAATATCATACCCATGTAGCACAGATGGTTGGGCCAACGTTGGTAAATTGTGGAGCCACACAGTTGGCCAACGGTAGAAATGTCACCTCTTTAAACTGTTTTCCAGCCAACCATTGTCCAACCGTTTTATTTCACACAAAATAATAAAGATTTAGTACGAAAAGCATAATTATTAGTTGAGTAAATTGATTAAATAGTTCATAAAAACAAATTTTGAAAAAAAAACTAGAACAAAATTTTTTTGGCCCAGACGGGTCTCGAACCCGGGTCCTTCGACTTATGAGCCTCTTACTTTACCACTGAGCTATCTGTGATTGCTGATATAGAGAGTTTTCAAGTGGTGAAAGAGTAGCCGACAGTTGCAATGGTCGCAATACTTCAAACATTTTTGATACTTCACAGTATAATATGATTCTGTTAATCTGTTAAGGCATCATAAGTAGTTTTTTTTTTTGGAGTTAGAGAGGATACTGGTATTTGAATGATTAATTAATTACCGTTAGATTGTTAATGCTATTATAATTGCCTGTTATATGATTAATTACTCTTTCCCCTTAAATTGTTGCAAATAAGTTAAAGAATATTAATTTAAAAAATATTTGCATTATTCAAATTATTAAAATTCATTGTTGTAGCGCCGGAACTGTAATATATAAAATATCTGGTTTTACAATACCTTTATCAGTTCCAAAAACTTTTGGAAACTTTTGGAACTGATAAAGGTATTGTAAAACCAGATATTTTATTATAATTATGTTGTGAAAGCTAGACCCAGAGAATGAAAGTCGTGTAAACTCAACTATGGACCATTGTTGGTCCAACAAAAGTATCTTTTGTTGGTCCAACGGAGTGAAAAACGGTTGGACAACGGTTGGCTTGATGTATGATACCCAGCAATGCATATTAATGTATTTCATTAACAATGAACCAATGTTGGTCCACAGTTGTAAATATTGGTTGGCCCAACTACGAGATA